AATGAAATTAAAACCCTGAAACCGATAAGAGTTGAAAGGCCGTTCTCCTTTTTCTGTCGTCTTTGCAAAAAACTGAAATGAAACGGTAGGAGATTCAACCGTTACTGCAACAATAAAACGCCGATAATACCGTTGCAGTAATTGAATCTTGACCTTTTTACTCCTTTTTAGGTTTACCCCCTCCCAATTCGATGATAAAAATTTGTGATACCGTGGTTTGACCTCCAAGGTTGTTTGTTAAGTAACCATATTGGCAATGTTCCTGTGGCAATAGTCTCTATAAGGTCTAAAAACTAGCAGGGAAAAGGTGAGCGGATAAGAGTCTCTTAATTAGTCATTACTAAAAAAGTATTAAAGTTATTTCTTAATTTTCACCGAAGGTAACATATATTAGTTGCTGCAGACATATCTGCATTATGTTTTGATTCGATGTTCTACTATTGGTTTTTTGGACACAGCCGACATACTAAAAAGTAACATGAAAACTTGCTTAAGCTAAATCGTTCGGGAAAACTAGGCGCAAATCCAAAATTTCTGTCATCCGTTGCAGACTTTTGTGCCTCTGTGGTGAATAAATGTGATCAACAAAATAAAAAGTGCTTAAGGCACTTCTGTTGCCAGTATTCGTCATATACAATGTATATCGACACTTTTTTGCATGTCTCATTTAGGATGAGAGTAACAAAAACGCAAGCATGTTTATACACATGTCTATCGTATAAATATATGTTATATATATACTTTATCTGTCTATAGGGCAAATCTACCTGAAATGTCCCGTCATCACAGCAACTTCTCTTCGATAAAACCAATCTAGTTTTATAGAGTTCATCAAGTTACGTAAGAAAGTGACTTTTCCGACTTCGTAGCTGATGCAGAAACTGAAAAAAATGACTTCTACTCCACCAGAAAAGTTATCGAATTCGGCGCCACTCTCAATGCAAGGTCATGAGTACCGCGATAACTTTTACAACATGTTCCGCCTTTTTCCAGCAAAGCCCTTAGGAGTTTTATCAAAGAGTGAGACATGAACTATGTTCTGTAAAAGTTTGAAGAATGTTCTATGTAAGATTCACGAGATATTCAACTTTTAAAAAGGAAGTATGTTTGAGCTTTCTCTCTGTATTTTAAACTTTGGATCTAATAAAAACAACTTTCTGTAGGTTTTCTAGCATTCTCAGTTCGATTATGACTATAAAAAGCTGCTTTTTCAAAGCGATAGCTCCAACAATAGGATAGCTGAGACCGCCGTTATCTGGTGCCACCATCATTAGTAGCGAACTGGCGATTGTTCCTTTTTTCTGACGTAACAGTTTTGTTTTTGGTGGTCATAAGATGTGAAAAAGTTGGATATCTCATGAACCTTACAAGGAACATTCTTCAAACTTTTAGAGGACATAGTTCATGTCTCACTCTTTGATAAAACTCCTAAGGGCTTTGCTGGAAAAAGGCGGAACCTGTTGTAAAAGTTATCGCGGTACTCATGACCTTGCATTGAGAGTGGCGCCGAATTCGATAATTTTGTTGGCAGAGTAAAGGAAAAAACTAAAAGCAACACAGTCCAAAATAGCCGATATTTTTTCTGGTAAGTTAAAGAAATAACAGTAATTTCTTTTTTGCACCTGCGGCTATGACCTTTTGTTCTTAGGTAAATTTAGTAAATATGGGCTGCCATATCTAAAACAAATTGAATTAAATGATAGTGTTATTCGAGATTTGATTATTGATCTTGGTCTTCCATTGTCGCTTGTTGAGAGACCAGTGTTTATGCGTTTCGTGAAAAACGTTGATCCAAAATATAGAATCGCAAGTCGACGTACTATTGCAAGACAAATTATACCAGATTTGTATGACATGATGACAAGAAAGTTAAAGAATTTTATCATACTGCGCAATTTATTTCATTAACACTTGACATCTAGACTGATCGACGTATGAGACCATTGTTTGCAGTAATCGAGCATCCAATTATTCATAATGATTTCAAATCGTATGTACTTTCATTTTTACGGATGCACGGTAGCCATACTGGTGATGTTTTGTTAGCTGAATTCGAAAGTGTCGTTTCAACGTATTTCATTAGAGAAAAACTTGTACATATTGTAACTGATAATGCCTCAAACAATACAAAAGCTTTCGAACAATAAGAAGTTAATAGTTTTCGCTTTTATTATGGTCGAATCTTAAATAATTATTTAAGCAAAACCATCCAAAGCAGATTTGCTCGCTTTTACTTTACTTAGAGAATGTAATGTTGTATTTGTGAATATTTCATTCATTTAGAATCATACTCTTTTTGAAAACAAATTAGCACTAAGCATTCACAGAAACCCACGAATAGAAAACAAACAGAGTATGCTTTTTTGAATCTAGCTTGAGTCAAAACATACGTTCGTGCGCTTTATTCATTTTTAAATAAAAGTCAGCATTAAGATCGAAATTTCTCATAGCCACAGAAATAATTCATCATTCTCAGATTCTAAAAGTCTTGTTATTTTCACGTAAGTCTTGACTCGAAGAAAATATAAGAGCTATGTGTGTTAATGCGACAGTCCCTTGATCATAATATATCTAAGGCCAAGACCCTAAAGCCGCCTAAACATTTTAGAGCAAAACAGTGAGTAGGAAAGTTGGTTATAAAATTGGATAGAGCGGGTCTTAGAAGTCGATTCCCATTTCTCTCTCTTTTCATCAACACTACTACAATCTCTCTTCTCTGTATACTCGTTTTGTTCTATAGTGTGCATTCATGTAGAATCTAATGGGGTATTCCGATTTGCCGTATATGTGCTTCTTTTCTTGTTGTCGTATTTTTTTTTTACTATTATTTCGTGAATAAAAAATGTTAAAAAAGAAAAAAAAGTTGGCCAAAATCAAATTCTAGAGTTCCTCACCAGAGCTTTTTCAAAAATTTCTTTCTTTGGTTTTCAAATTAAATTTTACAGCTTTTTCACTGTTGAATAGTTCAGTTATAAGGAAGAAAAATGTGCCAAAGACTGTTTTTCGATAGTTCAGCGGTAAGAGCAATGGTCGTGAATACCACTGTCCTAGGTTTGGTTGCTGGTTGAGATGCATATTTCTTTCTTCTTTCGACCGCCGTTAAAATTTCATCGTTTTCAAAATTTTGCTCATAAACAAAATTTCATCTTGTCTGTTACCTAGAAAATACTAGTTTTTTCTCTAAAAACCCACTCTATATAATATATCTATGGCAAAGAATTCAGCCGTAATGTTTTCGGACATTCTTAAAAGTTTGTTCGAATAATTCAAATGTTATTATAATGAAAATAAACATTTTTCAATTTTAGTCACGAAGTATCCGTTACATGATATTGAAAAAAACGTATTTTGAGTTGAGACAGAGAACTTTTTTGAGTACAGTGAAAGAAAAGAGAACGGGAACAATGAAGAATGAATATATACGTAATTATCTGAAAAAAAAAGAGAAGTATATTCCTCTCATCTATGATACCATGCAAAGAAACATAATCAGGTAAGAAAATGAAAAAGTCTGACGTTCCATGGTACACAACAGAGACCGAAACGGATCCGACCGGGGCGTGTTCTGGTCAAGTTTAGAAAAAAACTATTCGGAGTCACTTCAGGGCAATGAAAAAAATATGATTTTTTGAGGTTGAGTTCGGATCTGTATAGAAAAACAATTTCTCGAACGTGTCAGATTAAATTTAAAGACTAAAAAGCGCATTATATATGTCGTGGCGTAGATATATGCCGTCTTATCTTCCACAGGAAGGCTCCAATACATTTCATAATGTTTAATGGGTTTTTTTCACAATCGAAGTTGTTTGAAAAAAAAACTCGAGAATTTTTTGATTTCCAGGTCAACAACTTTTTCGAAAATTTCGCGCTTACGGCACATTGGCAAGTACTTTCCGTCTGATCTGTCAAAAAACTATTCTTGAAGTCGTTACTCTATCAAACGGGTAACAATAATGTACTCACAAACTAATAAACTGATTAAAGAACATAAATTGAAGCATTTCTGATTCTTCTCTGCTGTTTCTAGTGTTGGTAAATTCAACGTGCGTGATCGAGTACACTAAGCCAGCTAAAAATTTCTCTTAGAACATTTGCCAAAGAAATGGAATTGCGTTTTGTTCAGCTTATCCCTACACCTTCAGCAATCTATCGTCATCGTCTCGCGCCGACGATAGATTTAGATCGAAATTCTACGTGTGTTTATGAAAAGAGTGTTTTTTTTGTTGTTTCCTAATAGAACGTAATACAAGTGGACAGGAACAGAAATAAGGTTTTATGTTCTAATTCTGTTAACAAAGAAAAAGCGGTTGTCCTTTGAAAAAATTCTAACGAAAATTAAAGGTTTTGTTTACGGATTCACGAAATTAATGCGAAGCTGTTGTTTCTATAAATGTGATCGTGTAACAACAAATAATCATCTGTCGTGGATCAGTGGTTAGAGTATGGCTTATGACGCCGTCGAATCGTACGCCGATAGTTATCTTTCTTGCCACTTTCTTATCAGACTACTATCAATTACTTAGCTGAAACTTATACAAGTCTAACAAAAGTCTAACAAAAGTCTAACGAAAAACGTGGCCGTTTGGTGTGCCTTTCTTATATAAGACTTTTGTTAACATTTAGTAAGAGTCTAATCTGTTTTAATAAAAAACTTAAAGTCTGACAAGATACTTGCCAGACTCTTTTATAAGAATCTTCTCTAGCGTATAAGAGAAATCAATTTCGATACAAAAACTTAGAAGTCTTTTCCGTTTCCACTTTTCTGTAATAAAACTAAAAGATCCGAAGTGTTATGCTGTCGTTTCACGCCACACACGATTGTACATCTAGGCTGAATCTATCGGTTAGAACATCACTTCATATTACTATGCGAAAAGTGTATCTCTTCAAAAATGTCTCACAAAATGTGTCAGGTTTTGTCAGATTCCTATTGCGTCTTCATAAAAATATATCTCAATTGAGCACAGTTTTGATTGTCAAACATATCAATTTGTACATTACTATTTGTTAAAAAAACCTTGCCACAGCAGTTGAATAGCTTTGGTTGCGTCCATTGATAAAGATACACCTTTCTGACCGGTTACTAAATGTGTGGGAATTTCTGAATGGTCGACATTAATTCGAATTAAACGAATATTTTTATGACGTTCAGCTAGTGATTCCATTGGCCAACGAAGTACACTTGGAGTATTAAAACCCACACCTATCTCCAAGATTACCAATAGTCGATTTGCTGCATTAGCCTGTTGTATAGAATTTGTTAGCCATGTATTGTACTGTTTAGCTTGTTGATCATACGGTGTTGATAAAAACCAATCACCAGCTCGTACATTTAAAAACATTTTACCACCACATTGAGGACAACGAGGCAATTTTGTTTTATCAGTTAATAATTGCGTTTTTTTGTCGACATATGGATAAGCTGCTTCAAAATATTTTCGAACTGGCCATACTGAATTATTTGAACAAGGTCTCAAACATTGTATCATTGAATAATCGCCTTGCATTGTATAAAGCCTATTTTCTACTGGAAAATCATTTCGTTCAAACATTCCATCAGCATTAGTAGTAATAATAAAGAATCTATTGTCATTGAATGATAAAGCAATTTGTTTTAATTGTTGATAAACCGTGGATGGAGGCCAGTTATATCTTACGTTATGAACTTGAGAAAAGAGATAGCCCCATTGTAATTCATCACTCATACCACCGCCAAAGGTAGAATATAATGTTCGAAATCCAGCTTTATATAATCCAGGATATAAATCTTTAACTAATTTCTCAGATGTATAATCCAAACCTGCACTTGCTGATAATCCGGCAGCAGCAGCAATCAATAAACTATTAGAGGATTTTAACCATTCTATCGCCACGTCTATGTCCGTTTTAGTCTCTCTATTGAGAGTACGATGATTATCTAATATATTAACTCGTGTACCAGCTATACGTTCGAATTGTTCAATATAAAATACTTCATTGTTTGGTTTAAACACATTAAATATCACCAATTCAATACTAGTATTCGTTCTGTTTACATTAAGCCACTCTCTAACAGTATGGATTGCAATTTCAGCAGCTTTATCTTGAGGAAAGCTAAATATACCAGTTGAAATACTGCAAAAGGCAATAGATTTTAATCCTACTAGAGAAGCTAATTCAAGACAACTGATATAACAACTAGCCAATTCAGCCATTTCATTTTTAGTTGGTGATCTACCAGATGAAATACTATGATTTCCATGATGGTCATTAATTTCTGGTCCAACAGTATGAATAACATAGCGTGATGATAAATTATAAGCTCGTGTTATTTTAGCACTTCCAACTGATTCAGTATTCAGTTTTAATTTATTCATAATCGTAAAACAATCTGCACGCATTTGTGGTCCAGCTTGAGCATGAATTACATTATCAATACATAAATGAGTAGGTTGAAAACATCCTAATAAGCCAGTATTGCCAGCATTTACAATGGCATCACAGGCTAATCGAGTAATATCACCACGCCAAAGTGCAATTTTTGAAAAGAATGGATCATTATTATTAGAAAATAATTGATTCACTCGAGGTAACGATGCAGCCGATTGAATTTCATTGGGATCAATTTGATTTTGTAAAAAAATGTCTAATAACTGTTGAATATTATCAGGAATTTTATTGTATTCTGCTGGATGACGAATTGTTAATAATTGTCGTAAATGACTCGTTTTCTGTGATAGTGGCATGTCATTTAAGTAATCATCGTCTGGAGCATGATGAGAATTAGCTTCACTGTATTCTTTCATAAAGTACTTTAATAGTTGATATGCAATTTTGTGTAATTCATCCAAATCAAGTCTATTTGATTTCCATATAAATGGTTGATCTAGATTAATATAATTTCTGTATTTGTCTAATGCTAATTCTTTCATCCGACTGGATGAGCTATGGTCCATTTTACTCATTTGACTGATAACAATTATATGTCAAAAATATTGAATTTATTCAATATAATTTCAAATATCGCTTGAATTCTCAAAAAATAGTTTAAAATAGTGTGCGTGAAAATAAACAAAAATGTGGTGTTATTAGTTTTTGTCGTATATTTATATAATAATTAATAAATGTTGTCATAAGAATGATCATGCGTTTTTTTTCCTTTTACGGATGGAAAAAAGAAAAGAGCTCGAAAAAAAAAACAGAAGTCAAGCACAAAACACATTTCTCTTTTCATCGATATAAAAAGAAAAGAAGAAAATGGAAAATGAATTTAACGTCAGTATTAATCAACTAAACAGGGTGAGTAATATTTGTAGGAGTATGTAACTGTTAAAATACAATGTTACTATAGCAAGTGGAGAGTCAATTTTTCGACTTTCTATCCACACTAGTGTATAGCTGGAAATCAAAATTTTCACTCATCAACAAAGCATGTATTATTGTTAAAAACATTTAGTTGATTCTATCGTTTAACAGGAGTAAAATTTATATTGTAACTAGACAAACGGCTGAAGTAAGTTATTACATGCTCTCTTTACGTGAACTGTATATACATAATGTCTTTTCTTTCCTATTCTTTATCGAACAGTGCACACCTACGAGAAAAAAAATTCTTTTCGTGCCCACAGCATAGGCATATTGTATATATAAAAAGGAAAGATAAATTTCTTACATTTCTTCTCTCATTATAGAAAGTGGAGCGATATTTTTTGTAATGTCAGATCTGAGCTGTTATGATTAGTTTGAGTTTCACGACTAATTATTGTTTCGTCAGAAAAATATTTTTCTTTTATACGCAATTAATTTGGTTCACTTGGTAACAATAATATGAAACAAAATAATTTTACATAAGTAAATTATCATCGTACGTCGGCTTTCTTGTTTTGTTCTCATTAGGCCGATCATGTGTAAATTCTAAGTATCACAATAATCATAAAAGCCTCTTAACCCTTTATGGCGGCTCCAGAAAAGCTAGTGGTAAAATAACCACACAAGCAGAGTACTAATCCCCCCAATATGCCAACGGTATGGACAGATCGACCGAGCGCTCTGTCCTTAGTGCAGGGTAGTTTCGTTACTCTACTGACTATGGAGTAAGGGAGCATTTCAAAATTCTTGCCGTTCCCTCTGCCGTTCTGCCTCTGTGCCGCGGCACAACGAATTTATTTTAATGATCTTTCAATATATTATTGGTTTCTTTTAATGTATGTATACGAATACATGAAAGTTATTTTGATACAAAAATTTATTGGCTTCTCTTTACGATTTTTCGATTAAAGAATAAAGCAAGAAACGAATAAATATCATATATTCATCAAATATTTAACTTTTATATATTCAAAGAGGAGAGTATTCACTGCGTGTCACCAACCTCGCGAACTAAAATTACATTAATTATAGAAGACCCATTCCCACTTTTTAATACTAGTTAAAGTGCAAGAGTTGCACACGATAGTGATCTATTTTTTACAACAGAATTCCTTTTACTTTTTGATACATATGGCTGTAAATATCGCTGATCATCGTTGAAAAATGCAAGCTTTCCAATGACTTTCAAAATGTAATTTCCCTCCAAATTTTGAGTAAGCGATCTTGACGTATATAT